CGTGGGCCCTGACCAGAGCCCACGGGTGTCGCTTCCCACCTTCACCACGGGCCCTGGGACAGTGCCCACGTGATCCTGAGGCCACCAGAGGCCCGTGCCCCACGCACTGCCCACGACCACGCCCCAGTGCAGGGACACTGCGTCCTTGCCCCTGGCAGCCGCTCGCCCAGGGGAAGCAGGACCGAGGCTCGGCCTCCCTGGGCCACACAGCCGGAGTCCTCCGTCCGTCCCGTCCGTGTCCGGGCCCACCGGCCTCCGGCCTCCCAGTGCCTCCCGCCACCCTCTTGGCCTGGGGAGGTGGGGCCCCCTCCCTCCATCCCGCTGCCAGCCGATGGCGCTGAGCTCAGCGTCGGCGTGGCCGTCACCCTCCCTCATCTGCCAGGGGGCCACTGATTTCAGATAAGCCGGAGAAGCCAGCGGAGGGCCCCCAAGCCAGGTGGGCAGGTGGGGCATGGCACCACAGAGGGCACCCTCAGGCCTGTGGGTCCAGAACCACCGGGCTCGAGGACTCGCCCCGTGGCCCTCAGCTTCCCTGTCTGTAAAACGGGTAGGACGACGGGGCAGGCTTGGGAGTTTTCATATCACAGGTGAGGTTCAGAGAGGGCAGGAGACTTGCCCAGGGGCACACAGTATGGAAGGGCAGAGCGGGGAGTCCAGCCCTGCAGACGGGCCTCACTCCTGCTTGTGCACACTGGGCCTGGGGCTGGGCTGGGGGCTGCAGGGCTCCTGGCCACACGTCATGATCCTCCAGGGCCAATGAGAGGGACCCAGCACGTTCTGGACCAGCCCAGCCTCAGACGGCACCGAGGTGGGCACTGCGGGTCCCGACGCCACCAACCCCTCCCCTCCTCTCTTTGCAGACGCGGAGCAGAGCAGCAGCCCCCGGGCAGGGATGGGGTCCGACCAGGAGGACAGCAAGCCCATCACGTTGGGTGAGTCGGGCGCCGTGGGCAGGCGGGGGCCACCCAGCCCTGTCCTTCCTCCGGGGGCCGTGTGGTCCTCCAGCAGGGGCCAGGCAGCGCGCTGCCGCTCCACTTCACACCTGGGCCCGCGGGCTGGGCGAGCGAGGGCCCTGGCACCGTCAGCCCGCCCTGAGGGGTCCAGGGCTGCGCGGGGGGACGGAGAGGCTAGGAGCAGGAAGGGGCCCTCCCGCCCCTCGGCCTGTCCCACAGCAGCCAGGGGCACCTCTGCCCACAGCCCTCCAGGGCCCCCTCGGCCTCCTGCCCACCAGCGCCTTCGCACAGCCTGTCCCTCCGCCTGGTCAGCTGACTGCTCTCCGGGCCCCCAGGTCCCCTGTCAGGGAAGTCTTCCTGAGCCCTTCAGCCCTGCTAGCCCGGGCTGCTCCTGGCCACAGCCCTGTGCCTTCTCTCCTTCCTGCTGACCCCTCGCCTCGGGAGCTGGGGACAGAGCCAGGGCCTGCAGGTCCAGGCGAGTGCTGCACACGGAGCCCCAGCGGCCCTGGAGGTTGTGTCTGAGCCGGGCCTTGCTCGGTCCCCAGCTGGGCTGGAACCCGCCGTCCTCCTGCCTGGGCCCCCTGAGGCGCTGGGCTCACGGGCACGGCCAGGTGTCCCCCCCGCTCTCCCCTGCCTGGAGCGTACTCGGGCCGCAGTGTCCAGAACAGGACCTGGCACACAGTGGGTCTCAGTAAGTGTCGGGGAGGAGGAGTGACAGAGGGGAAGGACACAGGACAGCTACGGGGAGGGGCCTGGTGGACGTGGACGGCAGGAAGCGGCCAGGGCCTCCCGGCGGCAGAGGACGGCTGGTGGGTCCAGGAAGCCTCAGGCCCGGCTGCTCCTCCCGGCAGCCTCAACCTCCTGGGCCTCCCTGCAGGCCAGATGCTGCAGGAGGCGGAGGCCACGGCGCTGGCCTGCTCCCGGGGGGACCCTGGGCGTCTGGGGAGGAAACCTTGTCCTCCCTGCCTGCCAGGGAGTCCCTGCGCCACAGCTGCACGGCGCTGCACAAACAGGAAGCCGGGATGGGAGGGCGGGGGCACTGACACGGCGGCCAGCTGGGTCGGCAGGAAACGGCTGCGGCCGCTTCCCCTGGACACCACTCAGCGGCCACCACCCGTCCTCCCGGAGACGTGTCCCTGAGACTCCCAGCAGGGCACCAGGCACACAGTACGGGCTCCACGAATGGCAGGCAGGAACGTCACGCCAGGGGCCGGGGTCCTGGCCGCCAGGGCTGGGTCCTGGACACGCTGGGTGCTGGGCACCGGCATGCGCTCCCTGCAGCCCTGCTGCCCCCTGGGGGCTGGGAGAGGAAGTGCCACCACCTCCAGGGCTGAGGGCCCCTCCCTGGCTCCTCCTGCCCCGCGCTGCTGGGGCCCTCGTGCCCAGGGTGTGCCAACTGGGCGCCCTGCACGGGCTGCTCCTGCTGCCTGGGACACGGCGGCCCTCGGGGAGGTGGCCAGGCACCGTGCGGAATCGTCCTGACCCTGGTAATTTGGCTCCGAGGGTGTCACCGGGCATGTTCCTGGCACCTGGCAAATCTTAACAGAACCCCTCTCGCCCCCCACGGGGAGGTCCGTACCCAACTCTGCACCCGGGGGTTGGCTCCAAGCGCCAGCCTCCACCTGCCCGGCCTCCGCACCCCTGCCAGGCAGCCCTCCTACCTCACGGCCTTTCAGAGTGGAGTCGGTTCACTGAGCACGTCCACAGTGCTGTGCCACCGGCACCCCAACCCCTTCCAGAACCTTCTCCTCACCCCAGACAGCCCCGGCCCTCCCCAGCCCTGCCCCTCGTCCTCGTCCCGTCTCTGCTCTCCTGGACTCTCCTGTCACTGGGTCACACACTGTGGTCTGTGTGTCTGGCTCTTGCTGAGCACGAGGTCCTCAGTTCTCTTCATGCTGCCACTGTGTCACCTCGCTCCCGCCCTGGCTGAGGACGCTGCGGGTGAATGGGCCACTGTGTCCACGCACCCACTCACGGACGCTGGGTGGTTTTCCGGTTTTGGCCACTGAGAGCCCTGGGACATCGAGTCCCATGTGGCCTGCCACTCCCGCCTCTCTTGTCCACACTTGGGCACCCCTTCCACACGGAGAGCGTGGCCAGGGGCGGTGGGCGGGGCTGGCCCAGGGCTGACCCTGGCTTTCCTGTGACCACGTCAGAGTGCTCACCCCTCCGTCTCTGAGAACAGAGGACCTGGAACTCTGGGGTTGGGGTGTGACACCCCTGGTCACCCACCAGGGAGCCGGGCCTCGCTGACCAGGGCAGCCTGAGCCACGCCCGGGCTCCCCACCCGCTGCAGGGGCCCTGGCTCAGGCCAGCCATGGAGGGTAGCAGACAGGCCTGCTTGGCCCACCACCTACTGACCCCACCATCTCCCTGTTCCAGACACAACTGACTTCCAGGAGAGCTTTGTCACCTCCGGCGTGTTCAGTGTCACCGAGCTCATCCAAGTGTCCCGGAGTGAGTGTCCCCGTGGGCCCTGAGATGGGACCTGGAGAGGGAAGGGGGCATCAGAGAAGAGCCCACCACCCTCCTCTGCTCCCTGTCACCAACCTAAGACTGCCAGGACAGGAGGTGGCTGTGCCCTTCCCAGAGCCCAAGGTCCTGGTGACAGGCCCCCTCCCCAGAAGCCAGAACCGGAAGGCCAGGCAGAGGATCTGGAGAAACTCTAGGCAGGAGGCCCCAGAGACCCAGCCCTGTCCCCTGCCTTCCCTGTGGGCCTGCTGGACACCCCCATTTTGATCTTAGCGCTGGCCAGTGCCCCCCCACCAGATCCACAGAGCCTGGCCTCCAGCCCTGGCTACTCCTCTGCCTCCCAGGCGGCCTTGGCCTCCGCCCATGGCCTCGGTTTGCTGGTGCACAGAAGGCAGACTCTGGCCGAGCTGATGGCCAAGCCAATTGAGGAAGGCGTCCCCCTGGGGCTGGCCACTGGGTGGTGCCCGCCCTGCAGGGCAAACGGTTCCCTCCCTCCCTCCCTCACTCTCCTCTGTTGCCCTGGGCAGCACCTGTGGTGACCGGGACAGGACCCAACTTCTCTCTGGGAGAGCTGCAGGGGCACCTGGCCTACGACCTGAATCCCGCCAGCACGGGCATGAGAAGGACGCTGCCCAGCACCTCGTCCAGCGGGTGAGCGCCCAGGCCCTCCCCTGCGGGGTTCCCGGGCCCGCAGCGGCGGCCCCCACTCTCCGCTGGAACACACAAACTCCTACTCATCCCTCAAAACCCCGCCTGGGGCCCCAGATGGGACGTGCCCCATCTGCAAAGTGGGGCTGGGTACGACGGGGCGGGCTGCCTGCCAGGAGGAGCCGAGCCGAGCCGCCCCGTCGCCCCAGGTGGCCCCGTCACTCGCAGGCAGGTCGCAACAGGTGTCCCTGGCGCCCGGCGCAGGCCGGCTCCTGTGAAGTCTCGCGATAGCACCTCCCGCGCCCCGCCCCTTCAAGCCGGAAAGAGCCGTCTGCCCAGCCTCCCTGCGTCTCCATGGTAACTGGCCTCCCTTTCCCTCGCTCGTTAGGAGTAAGCGACACAAGTCGGGCTCGATGGAGGAGGACGTAGACACGAGCCCCGGCGGCGACTACTACACTTCACCCAGCTCTCCTACGAGTAGCAGCCGCAACTGGACGGAGGACATGGAAGGAGGTAGGGCTGGAGACGGGGACCGAGCCGGCCTTCCGGTCGGGTGACAGCGGCCAGGACTACGTATCCCGGCAGGCACTGCGCGCGCGCCGGGTCAGGAAGTCGACCCGGGGCCGCGGAGCCTCCTGGGAGTTGTGGTCGCGCCGGCAGCGTGCTTCGGAAGTAAATCCGGGTTCACGAGTTCCCGCAGCTGTGCGGTTCCCTGCTATCCCGGAAGGACCGGCAGTGCCGCCCTGTGGGCTCCCCTGTGGTGCAGAGATCCCTGCGCCCTGGGGTCCTCCGCGGGACTCGGGCCGTCGGGGCTGTCGTCCTGCACGGGCCTCCGTTCCCGTGGCGTCCCTTCCCGAAGCGAGCCCTGTGGGCGGGGGCCTCCTAGGGCCCTCCTCAGTCCACGTGTCTCCTGGGACTGGGCAGCGGCTCCTCGGGGTCACTTGGCTGCCTCCGAGGTCCCCTTCTGGGTCCCTGCCCCCGCAGCCCTCGTCCAGAGGCCCGTTGCTGGAAGGTTCCCTCGTGGGCTGGCCTCTGGCGCCCCAGACCCTCAGCTGACCCACCCCACGGTGGTCTCGGGCCGGAGCTCCAGGTCCTCCCGGTGTGGGAGGGACCGGGGGGGACCCCCGGCCTGCCACCGCCCGGCCTCAGTGCCGCCCCCCCGGGGTGGGCCTGCGGAGAGCGGGAGGAGGTGGGCGAGGTGCCCTGCGCTGGCTGGTGTCTTGCTGGGATCAGCCCAGGGTCTGGACCTGTGGGTCTGGCCCTCCTGTCACCGTGTGGACGACCGCAGCCCTGCAGCCCCGGGGAGCCCTGTCTCTCTGGTCCTAGGGTTGGTTCAGCGTCTGGGTCCCTGTGTGTCAGGCTGGGTTCTAGAAAGGCCCTTTAATAAGCTTAGGTTTGCTTGGAAGAGAGAGCAAACCCAAAGGACAGTCCCTTTCTCTCTCAGGTAAATGTCCAGCTGTTGGCATACCCGGGCAAGAGTGACAAGGGACTCGGGCTCCTGCCTGGGATTCTACTCAGCATAGTTTTCATTTCCACCTCATGGTCCAAGATCACTACTGGAGCTCCAGCCATCAGGAGTGCACTCCAGCTAGGTGTGGTAGTGCAGGCCTATGATCCCAGTGACTCAGGAGGCTGAGACAGGAGGATCACAAGTGTGAAGCCAGCCTCAGCAACTTGGCAAGGCCCTGTCAAAAAATAAAAGAGGCTGGGCGCATAGGTCAAGGGAGAGGCTTGATCCCCGATACCAAAAAAAAAAAGAGAAAAAGCTGCTCTTTTCAGAAGTGGCCTTGAGCCTCTTCCTGCTGTCCCTGTGCCCAGGAGGCATTCAGGCGCCATTCCTAGCTTCCAGGGGAGCCAGGGAGGCTTGCTGTGGGCATCCTGTGCCGCAGGCTTCTCACAGGGGACACCGGAGGCAGACCTCGGCGAGCACTGTCGCTGCCCACTGGCTCCCTTTCACTGGCCACGCCCCTCACATCCCTGCCTGAAACCCCCTGTGAGGTGGTGCTGGCCGGGCCCAGGAGTCCCCATGGTGGGGGGCCGAGGTCCTGCCCCCGGGCCTCTCAGTCGACGTGCCTGGGGCCGTGGACAGGAGCCTGCTCTGTGCCGTCTTCAGGCTCCTGTGGTCACCTCTTCCGGATCGGGACCTTAAACGGAGCCTGCCCCAGGTCACACCCCCCAGGTCAGAGCAGGGGTGGGGGTGCAGCTTCCCTGGGCCCCCCACTTCCAGCTCAGGCGGGCCGTGCAGAGGAAGGGGAGCCTGCCCGCTGCCCCCGTGTCCCTCGTCCCTCAGGGAGGCCCAGAGCGAGCACCAGCCAGAGGGCAATCGGAGGAGGGGAGCCCCCGTCACCCCCCACAGGGGAAGGGGGGGAGCCGCCACCAGAAGGGCCACCTGGGTGACACTGTCCCCAGGGGCCTGGCCATGTCTGGGGACATGTTGGCAGCAGTTGGAGAGTGCCTGGCCTGGGGACCCTGCCCAGCACCTACAGTGCCCGGGTGCCCCCGAGAACCGCCCAGTGCCAGGCCCGGGGGCCACGCTGGGCGGGGTCCGAGCCCTGCCAGGAGTGGGACGCTGGCCCCCTGCAGCAGGGCCAGGTGCCGTCCGGTTGCCGTGCGTCACCCACGTCCCTGCCTGCCTGGTCCTGGGCCTGTGTGGACCCACAGGCCCGGCAGCAAGCAGACCGGCCTGCCACGGGGCAGACAGGTGGGGCCTCTTTAGTAAAGGAACCCAGTGGCATCCCATGGGGACGCTGGTACACGAACTCCCATTACACCCTGGGGCCCGTGGCGGCATGTCCACCCAGAGCGTCTGGGCCAAGGGGTGCGGTGGGGTCTGTTGGACAGCCGGTGCTGCCCAGGCTGCGGGGCACGCAGTGGCTTGGTGAGCGAGCCCTGCCAGCCTGTGGGTCCCGGGGCAGCTGCCGGGATAGGGCGCCCGACGCGTGTTGGGCAGGCGGGGACGCCGGGCAGTGCCGTCACCCTCTGGAGGCCACGGGGCAGGGCCGTCCACACCTCCGTCCATGCCCTGTCGTCCTGCAGGCCCCTGCCCATGCCCTCTGGGCCCCCCGGGCACTCCTGGCCCTGGGTGAGCCCAGGCCCTGCTCCTAGCCGCCCTCGGCTAGTATCCCTTGTGGTGTCCAGGTGGGCAGAGGGCCTCTTGGGTGGTCCATCCTGCGGGCGTCCATTGCTGGGCCTCCTAGGAGCCTCCATTGAGGCCATGGCCCCCCTGCCCCACAGGCGCGGACTCCACCAGTCCCCCGGCTCTGCCACCCACCCCCAGGCTCACAGCAGTATCGCGGCCACCAGGGGCAGCCGTGCTGTGGCCGTGGGAGCAGAGACCAGGAGGCGCCCTGGCCAGCGGGTGCCCTGAGCCTGGAGCCCGCCTGTCAGACCCTCCCCTGTCTCTGCTTTGCCCCCTGGTGAGACCCCGGGTGGGGGTCCTGCGCTCCTCTGCCCACCCGCCCCGCCCGCTGCTCCCGTGTCCGCCACACCCGGTCACTCTGGTGTGAGCGGGCTCCGCTGTGCACAGTTAGTGGCTGCAGAGTGTCCCCCGCTGGCTCGGGGGTGGTGCTGGGCTCCACCTGTGGGCATCCAGCTGCCCGCCCACTGCCTCAGACCCTGGGGCCTCCTACCCTGCTCCGAGCCTCGCTGCTCCGACAGGAAGTGGGCTTCCTGGCCCCAGGACAGGAAGTGGCGTGACACGCTGAGCTTGTGGGCGCTGGTGCTCGGGAGGTCTGGGGTCCTGGGAGCATGACCCCTGGACCTGTCATCCCTGTCCCTACAGGCATCTCGTCCCCGGTGAAGAAGACAGAGATGGACAAGTCGCCCTTCAACAGCCCGTCCCCCCAGGACTCACCCCGACTGTCCAGCTTCACCCAGCACCACCGGCCTGTCATCGCCGTGCACAGCGGTGAGTGTCTTGGGCCCCGGCAGGGAGGGGTGCTGGGCCCTCTGCTCAGAGCCATCCCCCCCGGGGAAGTCCCACGAGACGTCTGACCAGGAGCCACATTGCTGTGGCCTTCCAGCCCGGAGAACACAGAGGTAGTGAACAGTGCGCAGGGCTGAGTTCCCGCTCTGCCAAGAGGACTCAGCCTGGGGCTCGCCCCACTGTGTCCCCGGGCCCTGCATGGTCCTATCCCTGTGTCCCCCAGACACGCTGGCTCACCAGGCAGAAGCTGCCACCAGGCCAGAGTGCTATGGAGCGGGCTGCGTGCGGCCTTCTCAGGGACTTGAGAGGGAGGCCAAGGCCAGGCCGGGCCCTGCCTGGGCACACCGTCCCCCCAGGAGAGGGGTCACAGAAGGACGTGCACTGCAGCGGCACAGGCCAGCAGCTGGTCACCCTGCCGGCCCACTCCCTTGCGCACTGGTCGGGGGATCAGTGGCCACACGGCTTGTCCCCGCAGGAGCCTGGAACAGGCTCAGGGCTCCCCCAGCACCAGTCCCTGCCACACACCTGGCCAGGCGGCCACGGGCCACCTCAGGAGGCAGACACAGGGCAGGACCCGCGTGCTGGGGCCAGCAGTTGGCCAGGGAGGCCCCGGCCGACCACTCCTGTCCGTGACATGTGGTGGGCATGTGGCCTGGACCCCTCGCCCTGGGGCTGGGAGCAGGGCAGCCGGGGACACACAGGAAAGCCACTCTATGGGGCGGGTGACAGCGGCACAGCAGGTGCTCAGGGCACGGAGCTGTGTAGGGACGCGCACCCGGAGGTCCTCGGCCCCATCTGCAGGAGCGAGGTGGCAGCTGCAGCTCAGTGAGAGCCAGACACCCAGGCCACCAGATGTGACCCAGTGACAGGAGAGTCCAGGACAGCAGAGTCCAGAGATGGGACGTGGACCCGCAGGGGCAGGATTAGGAGGGCCAGGGCTTCCTTAGGGGTGACGGAATGTTCTAGAATCCGTGGTGACGTTTGCAGTTTCTCGAGGGCACCGAACAGCACTCAATTGCAGGCTGTTCCAGGGGACAGGGGACTTCACGGTGCCCTCGGGGGACTGTTTCTCAGACCTCAGAGAGCCAGAGCCCACGGGTGCCCTGTCCCCCGTGGGGAGGGTGGTGCAGAGCCTGCTCGGCCTCCATGGACCTCGGGGGTCTCCAGGCGTGAGCGCACTGTGGGGCCGGCTCGTCCTGCGTGGAGACGGGCCTTGCCCGGGTTCCCCCTCCAGGGCCAGCCGAGGGACAGAGCCCCCGGCCCCAGGCTGTACTGTTAGCTGCAGGTGGACGCGGGGCCTTTGCCTTGGGAGCGAGGACAGCACCCAGGGCCCCTCGTGGGTGCAGGGAGCCCCGGCCCCGGCTCCGCGTCAGTCCTAACAAGATCTATCCTCTGGCCCTTTTGGAAAGGCCCTGCCGAGGCCCACGTCAGGTGGACAAGGGACCAGGTGGCCTGGGCTCCAACCCCGGGGTGGCCACCTGCTTGCTGGTGGTCACAGGCAGGTGACCCGTCTTCCAGGTCACGCTGACACCCTCTGTTTGGAGCATTGGGAGCCGGGCGCCGGAGCCGCTGGTCATCCCGGCTGCTCAGGAGCCGAGGCGGGAGGACAGCGGCTCCAGGGCAGACTCAGCAATCAGTGGCGTTCCGCCCCCAAATAAAAGGGCGCAGCGGGTGGCGGGGGACTCGCAGACGTGCGCGGGGCTTGGGTCCCATCTCAGCCCTGCAAAAAAAAATAAGTTGGGGACAAGACAAGACGCCTCTGGGCTCCCAGGGGCCGTGAACTTGAGGATGCAGCTGGGTGGCCCGGGCGGGTGCTGCCTGGCCCTGTGGTATCGCGGCCTGTCATCGAGCACCAGGAAGCAGGTGGGGCCCATGCCCTCAGCCCAGCAGCCCTGCCCGTGACCCCTGCCTCCTGCTGTCTCCACAGGGATCGCCCGGAGTCCCCACCCGTCCTCGGCCCTGCACTTCCCCACCACGTCCATCCTGCCGCAGACGGCCTCCACCTACTTCCCCCACACGGCCATCCGCTACCCGCCTCATCTCAACCCCCAGGACCCCCTCAAAGATCTCGTCTCGCTGGCCTGCGACCCAGCCAGCCAGCAGCCTGGACCGGTGAGTGGTGGGCGTGGCTTCGGGGTGGCCACCGGCGACCCTGGCGCCTGGCGGCGCAGCACCTCCACTTCCATCGGCTTTACCAACGCAAGTGTGGCCTTCCCCGCGTCCGTCGGGCTGGGCCGAGTGGGTGGTCTGCGGGCACCGCCAGGCACCGCCGGGCCCCACTGGGCCCACAGCACCGCCAGCCCAGTGCGCGGGGAACTGCAGTTGGGCAGCGGCCGGCGGTCCGGCGCGGGCAGTGCAGAGACTCCACAGACCTTGGCCCTGGGAGTCGGTGGGTCCTCATGGTAAGGTCACTCTATGGGTCGTGTCTGGAACAAGTTAGGAGAGCGCCGGCCGCATCTGGCATGAGGTGACAAGGCTCAGAAGGGGAGTGAGGGTCTGCGGGTGGCACACGGAGGAGGCCACACGGGTACCCAGCGCGTCCGGGCTCAGGCGCTGTTGAGCGCTGTCCCCGGGGCTCTCCCTGGGCTGCTCTCAGACCCACCGCCCACCACCCCACCTGGCCGTGGACCGGGCGGGGCTCAGCTCCAGCATGGCCCGGCCGCAGGGACACCCGTCCCCTGTCCCCCAGTTAAACGAAGTGGCCAAGCTGCGGCTGCGGCCCTCCCACACAGGTGCTGCTGCCCCGGCCGCCCCCCACCTCCGCCGCGCCCCGTGCCTGTCCTAGCAAGTGCCCGGGGCTGGCTGTCCAGGGCCCTGGCCCCCGCCTGCCCAGCAGAGCTCAGCTGATGGCCTGCGTGGGCCAGAGTGGCACCCAGGGCGGCAGCAGTGAGCCACGGCCCGGGCCACAGTTCAAGGTCCACTTACCGCACCACGTGGCCTGGGGGACCTGCGAGCCCATCTGGGGCTCAGAAGCCCTGCTGTGCCCGGGGCTCCTAGCAACAGACATGCTGTCACTCGGGCGTCCCAGGGCCACCCGGCCCACGTCTTCTGTGGAAAGTAGACACCACGGCTGCCGTCGGAAGCCAGGGCTTCACCTGAAACCCCAGAGCCGGCCGCCAGCAGCGGGGCTGGACACAGGGCCCTGTTCCACACCTAGCGACGACCGTCCCCACCTGCCAGGCCACCCAAGCACATCCTCTGGCCCTTCTTGAGCGCTGGAGTACAGCCGGCCACTCCTGTCCCTGTCCTGAGCTCACGGTGGCCCCCATGGGGCCTCCCCTGCCACAACAGCCCCTGCCAGGGCCGTGCACCCCCTCTGGGCTGCAGGCCCCCCTTAGGCCCAGGCCCTAGTGCCCGGTCTCCATCAAGGCCAAGTGCAACCCTGGGGCCGTCCTGCCCACCAGCCGCCCGCCCTGTCTGCGCTTTCTGTCCCCAGCCTGTGGGTGTTCTGTATAAGGAGGGTCTCACGGGGTCACTGAGGCCAGCTTTGAACTCGTGTCCTCAGCCTCAGCCTCCTGCGCTGCTGGGGCCACAGGCCTGGCCCCTGCCCACTGCCTGTCCTGCCTTTCAGGCACTCGTCCTTCCCTCCCCGGGCGAGGCTCCTCACGGTGGGGGCCGGCTCACCCCAGCCCATCGCCACCCCTGCCCCCCAGGGTGGGCCGTGGGGCCCGGCCTTCTCTGAGCCCAGGCTGCGTGTCAGAGCTGCCCTTCTAGCTCGCGCCCGTGTGACCTCAGGGACGCCACTGGGCGTGGCCTCAGTCCGCTCAGCCACACGGGTTGGTCACGGTGCTAACTGGGGGACTGCGGGGAGCAGGCTGTGACGTGGGTCAGAAGGACGCTCGGTGTGGTGGCGGGAGTGGGGTCGCCCCTGCGCCCCGCAGTTCTGGCCGCCTGTCCGTCAGAGGGTGGGCATGGCGTTTGCTGGGGACTGCACTGGGCGGGGCGTACCTCAGTGAGGGTGTGGTCAGCAGCACGAGCCCTGGGTCCACCCCAGCACTGCAGAAAGGGGCAAAAGCTGGACCACCCTGGGCCCCTGCAGCCACCGCGTCACAGATGGGGACCACAGGGCCCTCCCTCCCCGCCTCCCACTGTGCACCCCGCCTTCCCCACCTCCCTCCACGAGGGAGGCCGCCCTGGACCTCCCAGGTCCGGCCTCAGCGCGCCGCCTGGCCCACAGCCGTCGGGCCGAGTCCTTTGTGCAGTGACAGAACCCACCAGGGAGTTAGGATAGACCCGGGAGCCGGCCGCCCACCGCGCCCTCCAGCGCGGAGTGGTACTCTCGCGTCCTCAGTCACTCATGGCACAGGCTGCGCCCGAGAGGGACACCGAGTAACTCACAGCCTCCCTCTGCCCCGCTCGTCCCTCGGCCGGGACCCTGGCCCTTGAGTCAGGACTCCCGGCTCTCCAGGATCCGGATCAGCCAGGGGCCAGCGGCTCGGAGCCCCGGGAGCCGGGTACACAGACACCCTCTCTGCCACCTGCGCCCCCTCGCTAACGGGCTCTCGGTCTCTCTCCTCCCTGCAGCCTACTCTACGCCCGACACGTCCCCTGCAAACCGTTCCTTTGTGGGATTAGGACCAAGGGATCCGCGGGCGTGTATCAGGCACAGGTAGGGGCCGAAGGCCGGCGGGGGGCGGGGGGCTCAGGGAGAGGCCGCCTGCTGGGCCTGCACCTTCACTGTGGCGCAGGGCCGGCCTCCCGCAGCCCACCAGGGCCTTGAGCCCGCTACTGGCTTCTTGGGACACCAGGCAAGGCTGGACTTCCCGCCTCGGCCTCCGAGGGCACACCACACCCAGGGATGTGAAGCAGCCCTGAACTGCCCACCGCTTCCCAGTGGCATCTCCTGCCCCAGAGACAGAGACTAGGGTCCATTTGTCTAGAGGGGAAACCAAAGCCCAGAGAGGCAGGCCATTTGCCCGAGGTCACACAGCTCAACACCAGAGCCTTCACCCCAGCCTTCATCCCTCTCATGCTCTGGCCAGGGAGAGGCAGGGAGTTGGCTGCCAGGGCATTCCATGATGGGTGGGTGGACCTTCCCGAACAGCCACCCGGCCCTACCAGTCCAGCAGGTGGTGGAGCAGGTGCGGGCTCTGAGGAGGGGACTCCTTGCAGGTCAGCAGGACCGGGGACAGGGTCAGGCAGGACACAGTTGTCCTTCCAGGTGGAGTGTGTGCCAGGCGGTCGGCAGGGAGCAGGACGGTGAGGAGCAAGTGCCCTGGCGAGGCCTCAGCCCCAGGCCCAAGCACCCTGCACCTGCCCTCCGCTTGGGGCCTGCTCTGCTGCTGGTGCAGGCTGGACCCAGAGGCCCGCTGCCTGGCCTGAGGAGGCCACAGGATTTGTGGCTAAGAGCAGTGGTGGCCACAGCCCGGCCTCGCAGGCCTGGCCACAGAGAGCCAGCTCAGGGCAGCGCAGCTCTGCAGAGCTGGTCGTGTGCAGACCCCGTGCCCAGACCCCCAGCCACCCGAGCCCCCAGCTGGGAGAGGAGCGTCCCTCTACCCTGGTCGCCTGGGCCCTGTGTGACTCCAGCTGTGCCCCTGGGGCCTCCCCAGCCTCCACCCAGCCTCTCTCCCAGGGAACCAGCAGAGGGGGAGGCACGCAGCTGAGGGCGGCAGGCGGCTCGTAGGAGCTGAGGGGTCCTGGGGACCGCAGTCTCTTCCTCTGGCCTTAAGCACCTCCCAGAGAGCCGTTGAGGGACAAAGAGCAGGACTTCCCTACACTCCCTCCAGCCCGATAGCGAGTCGCCCCTGCGCCCAGTGCCGACGGAGCCTGGCATCCCCTGGCTGTGCCACCTAGCGCCCTGCCCCCAGGAGCCCGGGGATGTCCCCCTGCTTCAGAAATGAAAGCTGATGAGGAGCGGGCGGCTCGGCCTCCACGGTCAGCCTCTGCCTTCCACGAAGCTTTCTGACCGACTGCCTCTGGGCAGCGCCACCTGCAGCCTCACCGCCTGAGCCCTGAGCCGGGAAGGAGGCCGAGGCGGCCAGATGGTGCCTGGGCTCTCCCCTGTCCATCCTCTCCTGCCGGCTGGACCCTGGGAGGACCTGGAGAGGGCGGGACAGGGCTGGCAGTCCCCGGGGTGGCTGGCAGCGGAGGCCAGGGGAGGTGGCAGCACGGGTTCGGGAGACGCCGTGAACGAGGGGCGGCCGGGGCCGAGCTGGCCTGAGGCAGCGTGGGCTTCACCTGGGGCGTGGGAGCCCTGGAGGACGCTAGTGGGCGGCCAGCCGGGTCAGGGTCGGAGGAAGGTGGCGGGCACTGAGGGGAAGCCGCGTGGCTGGGAGACCTTGGGGGGCAGAGGGCCCCTCGTGTCCTGGGAGCAGCGCTGCCCTAGCTGGCCAGTCCCCAGGGGAGCAGCCTGGAGCCAGACCTGGGGGTGGGCGTGGGGAGGGCCGTGGTGCAGGGTCAGCGCCTCCCCTGCTGGCCACTCCAGGAGGCTGCGCCCTCCACCCCTCCCGCAGGCCTGGCCCTCGCTCACCGCCCCTCCTCCACCCCAGACTGCAGAGCCCCTCGGGCTCCCCACACCCGGCTCTGCGGAGGAGCAGCTGGGGTCAGAGGGCCAACCACAGTGGCCGCCACAGCCAGGCTGCAGTGGGAGGGGCAGAGGCGAGGTCACCCCGTCCTGTCCAGAGCTGGAGCCAGGCAGAGCCAGAGGGGTGGGAGGAGGGAGGGAGGGTCACGCCCAGAGCCTGTCTGGTTGCCAACGGAAACCAGACATGAGGTAATGGCCGAGATGAACTTGAACTTGGCTGGAGGTGGGGGCCAGAGCCATGGTGCGGGTTCAGGAGAGGCCGGCCGCCTGCTGGAGGGGCTGGGACTCCCTGGGGCACCCGCCCAGCCTCAGAGGGAAGGAGGGAGGGGCCGGGCCCTGAGGGAGAGCTGCCCACATGGGGCAGAGCCTGTTCCTGGGCAGGGGTCTGTGGGGACGGGGGGCTGTCTGCAGTGCCCACCGCCCCGGGCGGTGCAGGGGGCTCCTCAGGCAAGCTGCCAAGGGAGGGGACCTGGGGCCTCTGTCCAGGACAGTGAGCCCAGACCCAGGGCCCTGCAGCCTGAGTCCCCTGCCCAGCCACCTCACGTGGTCACCTGGGCAGGACAGCTGATTCCTGGGCCCCACTCTGTGGACGGGCAGGGAAGAGCCCTGTGCCTGGAGGTCTCGGGGTCACTGAATGGGAAACACAGTCCGCAGCGTGGACGGCCTCCGTCCCGGGGCCTGGGCCGGCCGCTCCTCTGCGATGGAGGGTGGGGGCCAGGAGGAGCCCCGTCCCTTCCTGCTGCTCCAGGCTGAGGTCACGGGAGCAAGCAATCAGAGCGCAGGGCAGCTTGGACCCGGGTGACAGGGCCCTGGGGACACTCTCGCTCCGCCCCACGTGCCCGGGCTGTGCTGGCGCTGTCCCCGTGATCGTGAGTCCGCCTTGGCTGGAACCGTCTCTGGCAGCTGGTGCAGGGGCCGGGGGCAGGCGTGGACGGGCAGGCCAGGCCAGGAGGACCTGACCCTCTCTCTCTCTCTCCCCGCGCTGCCCAGTCCTGGTACCTGGGATAACAGAGGTCTCTTCCCGCCTCTCCTCCATCGTCCTGGGGACCCGGGGCACCGGCCCCCACCCGCGTTCTCGGTGGAAAATCAGAGCGAGCAAGACCGCCCCTGCCGACTCCCAGCTTGGCCGAAAGACGGCACCGACGGGCGCAGGAGGACGAGGGAGGAGGACGAGAGACACACCGTGCCCTCCCGACGCCCCGCGGCCCGCGGGAGGCCGCAACAGGGTCTCCCTAAGTTATTCATCTCCTTCCTCGGCCACCCGCTGCCCCGTGGCACCAGCGCTGCCCAGAGACCAGGTGAGCACAACCTGGCGCCTGTGGCCAGGGCCAACGGACGGGCAACGCCCAGCAAGGCCACCTCCCCCTGGGCCTGCGCCACCGCCACCAGCGAGGGGACCCCGGCCAGTCCCCCTCTGTGGATGGTGATTGCCAAAGAGGGGAGGCAGGTGCTGGCGGGAAGGGGTCAGCAAGGACCCCAGCCTCGGGCAGCAGAGACCTTGACGGAGGGTGCGGTGGGCGGACGAGTGGGAAGGGCTGCAGAGCAAAGTGGGGAGGCCCTGGATGTGGCAGGGGTCCATCGCTGGCACTCACCAAGGAAGGACGCCAGGCGGGCACTGGGGGAGCCCAGGCGGGCCCTGAGGCTGGCCACGCCCTCCCAGACCCCCCGAGGACCTGCCTGGCCCTGCTGTGCTGGGGACTTGCCTTCGGCCCTCGGGAGGAGAAGTCTCTATGCAATTAGACCCTAGCCCGCCCGGCCCGGCGCTGCCCGCCGCCCGCCCGGCACCCAGGGAGGAGTCCGCGCACAGCAGGAGACGCACTTTCTGAGGACGGGGTGGGCCAGGCTGAGTGGAGGGGCCGCAGGGCCTCCCTGTCCCCAGGCGGAGGCCAGAGAGTGGTTTAAGTGCCTGATCCCCACCGGCCGCCCCATGTCCAGCTGGGACAGTGTGGCCGGGCTCCCACCCCCGCTCCCAGCCGCCTCCACTCACAGGCCCCTCATTGCTGTGTCCCCAGAGCTAGAGAGATGGGACCCCAGGGCTGCGCTGGGCGTGCCCCAGGCACCCCGGGCTGGGCTCTGGGCAGGCCCCGCCTCCTCGCCAGTGCCTTACACCTGGAGCAGCCCGTGCCTGCGCCCCCAGGGACCCCGTGCACTTTCACGTCCCACAAGGGGAGGTGCAGAGCCACCTGGAAGGGGAGCAGGCCTGGGCGGAGGGCTCTGGGGACAGGCCTGGGCTTCCACCTGCAGCCCAAGGACCTCTCATCCGCTATGCGTTTCCGTTGAGCTGCTCCAAAACACTAAGCTGGGCGCTGGGGAACCTGACCCCGGCCCAGCCGTCCCACCGTCCCCTCCTAGGATTGCTGTCGTGGGGCCTCGATGGCGGTGCTGTGTGTTTGGGGGCCACTGAGCCCCAGCGCAAGGACCCCTTCTGGCCCACACATCCCAACTGACATCCTTCATGCCTGGCGCTGGGGACAACCCCAAGACCCGCCCCGCCCCGGGCCAAAGCCATCATGCAGGACGGCCTCCAGGCCCGTCCACCCCACACTGCCCCGACCGTCTCCCCCACCCCAGCTTCCAGACTCTCCTCCCAAATTGGCCCCGGGGCCTTGGCCAACCTGCTGGTCACTTGGAGAAAGACCCTTCTGCTGACCCCCCCCCTTTTGCCCAGAGGGTCCTGCCATCCTCAGCCTCGAACCCTTGGTCCCTCTGTCTGTCCGTCCGTCCATCCTCAGGGCCCCTCCACTGGGTGACCGTTTGGGGACCAAAGCGTGGGCCACTCTCGGGGAAAGCAGAGGCATCTGGAAGCGTCTCAGCCAGGGTGGGGGTGGGGAGGGGCCGCTCAGGCGACCTGGGGTCGGGGCGCACAGAACCAGCTCTTTACCTACTTTGCATGGTGCTTAGGACCCCGCGGCCCGGCTCCGGCGTCGCCCACGGTGGCGCCTGCATGGCAGATATACCTGGCTCTGTCCCTCCGCCTCCCGGCCCCCTCTTGAAAAAATCAAAAAACCCTTTAAAAAGTTCCATGTTTCCTAATTTGCACGAAGTTTCTACCACATGATGTGCCTTGCCTCGGAGAATAAGTATTACTCTACAGTCTCGGCTCTCAGCTGCATGTGTGCACGCGTAGTCAGGCCACGGGACGGATACAGTCCACGGGGTGTACTTCTATTTGTAAAAAAAAAACAAAAAAAAAAAACAAAAAAAAAATAATAAGAAGATTTTTTTAAAGAAGAGAAGCTCTGAGCAGGCCCGCGGCTGTCCCTCGGTCTGCGCCCTGCCCGCCTGGCCGGCTCCTCGGCTCCGCTGCACCGGGGCTCCCTGGTGCTCACCTCTGCCACCCCAGCCCAGGCCCAGGGTCCACAAGGGTCATCTGAGTCCCTGCCCTGGCCCAGGGAGGACTTCCCACGCCGGGCACAGGCCAGCCACGCCTGCAGCCTGCAGGTGGACCCTCCCGCCCCCGATGCACACCTGGCCAGGGTCGGACTGCTGCCCCACCCAGGGCACCTCCTCTTCCCCACCTGCACCCCACCTTCTCACCAAAGGACCAGCCTCGGGGGCTCTGCCCAGCTCCGTCTTCCAGCTGTGAGCAGGAGGGTGCCGGCCGCAGCGCACAGAAAGGCAACTCTATGCAACACCCGTCCCCGGTCAGCTGGCCCGGCCAGGGCCGCAGGGCACTGCAGCCACCAGGGCACCGAGTCACGAGCCTCAATTGGCCCCGGTGGTCACCAGGCTGTCGCTTGTCCCTGACCTGCGTTCTCTGTCCTCTTTCTCTCCCCTCCCCTCTCCCCTCCCTCCCCCCCCTCATTTACAGTTCCTTTTGCTCTTTCTTGACCAAAGTTAAGACAGTAGCCAGGTGGTCAGTGTGCAGCCACATGGGCAGGAGTCTCCGACCTGGGCCCCCCACTCCCCCCCAGGCATCCCACACAGGTCACCAGGCGGAGGGTCCCGAGGGTCCTGCCTTCAGGCCCCAGGACTGGCCTCGAGCACTGCATGACTCATCCTGTTCCCTCCAGAAAGCCACCTGTGCTCCAGGACACAGCCCGACTGGCCTGGCTGCCCCTAGGGACCATCCTAGGCCTGGGCTCACGGTTGACCTTGCTGTCTCTGGCTTTTCATTGTGCTGCTCCTGAGTGTCACCTGGGGGCAGGGGCAGCCGGAGTGGGGGGCATGGTCCCCGGGACCGTCTTGCCCTCCGCTGCCTCGTGCCTCAGCACACCCCTCAGGAAGACAGCCGCGGGCACCGCCCGGGCCCCAGCCACAGACGGCTCTCAGGCCCTCACGAGGGTGGCAGGAGGGTCCATGCCAGGCAGCGCACTGTCCTGGGGCCACCAGGTTCTCAGACTGCCCTGCTTCTCAGAAAAGCCACAGTGGCTGGCCCCCGCACACTGAGAGCCAGTGTCCCTGCTGGCCTGTGGCGGGCACAGGGTGGGTGTCTTTGTCCTGTGGGGGCTGGGGGGTGGTTTGTCTTTCCTGCATGAGACTGGCATCTCCCAGGCAGGTCCTCTCCCCAGCCCACTGTCCCCTCACAGCCACAGCCAGGCCAGGCCCCTCAGGCGGCCCTTGGGGCCCACTCAGACCAGTTGCCCCCCTTTCCCCAGGTGGAGCCCTCGCTACCCGGCTGGCCAGGCCACAAGGGGGTGGCCTGGTCCCATGGGTCTGGGGGAGAGGCATGCAGGGGCCCATTGCCCAGGTTGGGTCCAGAGCCACACACAGGCTGGACAATCAGATCCCAAAGGAATGCCCAAAGGAACAGGGAGGACCTGGGGCCGAAGGACCGCCACCTTGGGTGATAGCTCCCCGGCAGGTGGTGGCAGCCTCTGCCACCACACTGTTCCCGGCGCGGGACCTGTGCACATCCCCACCACACCATGGCCACTGCACACTGTCTCCCCAAGGTCTGGGGGACAGCATGCCAGCCCTCCCCGCTCCGGCCTCTCAGGCGCCTGAGGTCCTCGGACCCAGTGCAGACTGTGGGCTGCAGGGGGCACCGGGTCCTCTGCCCGGCTGCCCGCTCGTGCTGGGAGTGAGATCCATCCTGGATCCAGCTCCTCCTCTCCCTGGGATGCCCTGAGTCCCCTCTAAGGTACCCTGTCCCCAAGAGAGCGAGCGTGGGAAGCGGGGCGCGGTGGGCGGCCGGGGCAGGCGGAGGCAGCCCCAAAGCTGCGCCAGCAGAACCCCTTGCCCTCGATACCAAACCAGACTCCGCGCAGTGCCTCACGGTCTGCTGCCGCGGCTTTGGGCCCCTCCCCGCCCGGCGTCCCCCAGCCCGGCCCCGGGGCTGGGAAGGAGGGCAGGCCGGAGAGGGGGCCGCCTCCCTCCACCTGGACCCGGCCCCCTCCCACCCCACCTGCGGCCTGGGCAGGGCCCCTCCCACAGGAGCCCCAAAGCCCACTCCCCAAATGCACGTGAGCCCCCTTCTTCCACCCTGAGCCCAGCCAGAAGCCAAAGCCCCTCAAGAGCAGGGGGCCCAGCCCACCCCTGTCCCCTGCCTGCCCCTCACCTGGCCAAGAGCGCGCTGGGGGACAGGACAGGGGCAGGGAGAGGGTCAGTTCCCTCTGGGCCCTTCTCCTCCTCTGTCCCTCCCCCCCCCACTGCGTCTCTCTGTCTCTCCTTTTCTCTCCCCATCTCTGTCTCTGCCTGTCTCTCGCTCGCTCTCTGTCCCTGTCTCTCTCCGTCTCTCCCTCCCTCTCCCCCCCCCGTCCCTCTCTATCTCCCCCCCCCTCTCTCTCTCTCTCTGTCCCCCTCCTTTGTCCCTGTAGTTTGGGATGGGGATTCTGGGGACCCTCTCCCTCTTTGCCTCGGAGGTTTTCTGAGTTTTCGGGTTGGTTTTGGATCTGCTCACAGCAGGACAGTAGTCTGTCCCTTGCTTTCTGCTTGTGGCACACCCGAGGACACGCGCACACCCCTGCTCGGAACCACGCGGACGCTTCCGGCTAGCCTGTGGCCACTGCCGCCCAGTCCCTCCCCGGCCGGGGAGCGAGGGACAGAGCGCCCCGCGGGCTGACTCGTGCCCCGCCGTGGCCTGGTACCGGTTCTGGTTTGCGAACGCGCCGCCCGTTTGCGGGAGGTGACTCTGGCTGTTGTACTCTGTTGTTTCCCTATGCAAAAAAAAGAAAATGGGGGGCCACAAGGTTCAATAAAAGGCAAAAAAAAGAAAAAAGTGTATAAAGATTAAACAAGCTCTGCTTCCGCTCGGCTGCCTGAGCCTCTTTCCGCGCCCAGCAGGGCACAGCGAGGGGGGGTGGCTCAAGTGTTCCCCAGGGCATGAGGTCTGGGGCACTGGTGACTGTCACAGCTGGGGTGTCCTGGGCAGCACCCTGCAGGGCCCCTGATGCCACCAGAGGGTGGCCTGGCCCTGTGTCCCCAGCACCCCCGGAGCCCTGCCCTGGCAGTGGCCACTGGGCCTTCCTGCAGCGGCCTGCTCTCTGGGCCTGGCTCCGCCTTCACAGTCCTGGCCTGAGCTCCTGAGGGCCGCCCGCCCGCCCGGGGCTCAGCCTCTTCCAAGCCAGGAGCGAGGGGGTGCAGAGGCGAGGGGGGCAGGACGGCCTGGCGGGCTGTGGCTCAGGGAGAGCCCGCAGGCTGCAGCGGAGAGCGAGGAGGAGGGAGGCAGGGGGAGACGGGCCACAGGGAGGACCTGGGCTTTGACCAGAGGGAGGTGGGAGCCATGAGCTGTGGACAGAGGAGGGGCCTGGCTCAGCCCCACCACTTCCACCTCCAGGGAGCGGCCTGTCCGCCCGCAGACCCCTGCCGCGTAGCAGCCTCCCTGCCTCAGCAGCCCTCCCTAGGCCTGGCCCAGGTTGACCGTGTCTGTGCCCTGGCCTTCCAGTCTGGCGCCCCTCGAGGCTGGGGCCAGGGAGGTGGGGGCCACACGTTTCCTGGGGGCCTGGGTGCTGCACCCCGCCCCTGTCCCAAGCACTCCAGGACCCCACGGAGCCCAGGGTGGGTGAGCTAAGCCTCCCTGCCGCCCAGGGCTCCTTCCCACAGAGGCAGCTGGGCACAGCAGGGCGGCGAGGCGTGGAGGCCCGTGCTCGGGTCCACCTGGCCCTCGGCTCACAGCCCTGTCCACCTCCCGAGCCTCCTCTTCTGCCCTTCCCACTGCCAGAGAAGGAGGACCCGGGGAACAGGCTGCAGGGGCCCGGCCTCGGCAGGCTCCACGGGGCCTGGGCACTCTGCGCCCCAGGGCCCTCTCCCCCCAAGGGAGGTGGGAGCCCAGGCCTGAGCTGCAGGAGCCGGGCCTCCGGGTCCTCCTGCTCGGCTTCCTGAGCTCAGGATGGTGTGGGCGCGTGGGCAGCCAGGCCCTGAGGGGATGGGGGCAGGGGATGGGTGGGAGTGGGGGGGGAGGGGGCCAGTGGAGGATGCAGGGTGGCTACAGGGCTGCCCAGGAGGAGGAAGGAGGAAGGGAGAGGTCTCGGGATGGGGTGGACAACCAGGATGAGTGTCTGGGGCGGGGCGGGTGGTGAAGATGCTACTGTGCTGATTGAGTCCCACATGAGGACAGGTGGCGCTGTGAAGCCCTGCGGTGGCCTTGCTCCTCCAGCTGCCCAGCTCCCCCCTGTAGGCCAGGGCTCTGGGAGGTGGGGCCCACCTGTGGTGGCCTCATGCACTAAGTGGGTGACCCCCAGATGGGCAGGCAGCAGCAGGCCACTTCGCAGGCATGGGGGACCCACATCCCCCCACCCTCCCTCCTGCCGAGGACCCGATGAGCAGGGAGCATCAGCTGAGGCCCTGCGGGAGCAGCCCGGGCCCAGGAGGCTGCAGGTGCAGCTGGGCAGGAGGAGGACCACGGGCGGCCCCAGGGCGGGGTGGGGCTGGAGTCCCTGGAGGTGGAGGGAGCAACCTAGGGAGGGGCTGGAGGGGCCCCAGCCACCCAGCACCCTGGCTCCCTGAGGCCGCGATCCCCACGCCCCAGGGCAGCAGAGGCGGGTCCTGATTCCTGGGCAGCAGGCCTTTGGATGGCTCCTTCAACCTGGTGACCTCTCTCAGGTCCCACAGAGTTTCCAGACTGGGGTGATCAGAACTCCCTCCCATCTCCCATGTTGTAGAACAGGAGCCAACTACAGGTTCAGAGAGGCTGGGCCACCTCCCCAGGGCTGCGCAGCACTCCAGTGGAACAGAAAAGGACGCCCACTCACAGCTCCGTCCTCAGAGGAGAACCTCTGGGCTTGACCTTGGGGAACCTGCAGCCACCCGCATCCCTGGGGCAGCCAGGGCTCCAGCTCTGCCACCACCAGAGGGAGGCCTATCCTGGGAACTCCCGCCTTCCTTCAGCATTGGGCTGCAGAACAGCAGGAGGCTCCCGTGCTGGGCCCACGTCAGTCATCCTGGGGTCCTCTGCCCCCTGGCGGGCCATCCTGGGGGTGTCCCAGACAGAAGTGGAGCCACCTGGCTGAACAGGCCTGTGTACCCACAACCCCACCCAGAACGGCGTCTCAAACGCTGGCCTTTACCGAGCTCCTCATGAGGAACAGCTGAAGCCACCAGGCATGGGGCCATGCCTGTCACCCAGCCATCTGGGATCTGAGCAAGAGGATCACAATTTCCAGGCCAGCCTGGGCAACTTATGGAGGCTTGTCTTAGAATAAAAGGGTTGGCTGCCGATGTGGCTTTGGGTAGAGCTTTGCCTACACTCTGCCAGGCCCTGAGTTCCATCCCCTTGCCAGAGAAGAAAGAGCAGGAGGAGGAGAAGGAGGAGGAGGAGGAGGAGGAGGAGGAGGAGGAGGA